AATGTCGTTCTTACAGGAGACCTGAATGTTTCCAGAGACTTGATTGATACGGCGAGGGCGGACGAACACATACGGTCGGAGGGCATGACACATGAAGAGTATCTGAGCACGCCAAATCGTCGCATTTTCAACCAGCTGTTGCTTAACGGCAAGGTTCCAGGGCAGCGGGACGAGGGGCGAGAAGAGCCTGTGCTGTACGATTTGTGTCGCGAGTTTCATCCTGATCGCGAAGGCATGTTTACGCACTGGGAGCAGAAGATTAATGCCAGGCCGAGTAACTTTGGATCACGGATCGACTTCATTCTGTGCAGCATCACCATCAAGGATTGGTTCCAGGACGCGAATATTCAAGAAGGATTAATGGGCTCAGACCATTGCCCTGTATATGCAGTTTTGAAAGACAAAGTACCAGTACTACGAACGTCAGGACCAGATAGTGTAGAAGAGGAGGTACATATTCTAGACTTGATGAACCCAGCGGGCATGTTCAAAGACGGTGTACGGCAACGTGATTACGATCCAGCCAAAGACGTCCCGGCTCTTAGCGGGAAACTTCTTCCGGAATTCACTAAGAGGAGGAATATTCGGGACATGTTCAGTAAAAAGTCAACACCCCCAAAGCCTAATCCAAACCCTACGCCTGCAGTAGCTCAGCTGGACGTCACAACAAAGGCTGACGTCGCAAGTACTGCAAGCACAGCGGAAGAACAGATGGATAGAGATCTGGCTTTGGCAATTGAGGCTTCCAAAGCAGATATGCTTGCAGATACGGAAAACAAAACCACATTTTCGCAGAGTCCTCTCAAATCTGCTGAAAAACGACGTGCATCAGCCTCTGCGTCCCCTGGAAAGCCAATCAAGCGAGGCAAACCTGGCGCCCTAGCTGTATCTACCAAAGGGAATAAGGGGCAACAATCACTCAAAGGTTTCTTCCAGACACACAGCAAGTCTACAGATCCTATTACACCCAACGACGCAGCGCCATCAGTCTCATCTCTCAAAACCACCGACACTCCAAGTCAGAATGCTACGGAAATGCCTCATCCACCTTCTCCACCGTCGACAGCTAACGAATCCTTTGATTCTGATCCCCGCGCTTCTCAAGAAGCGTCAAGGGAAGGCTGGACGAAGCTTTTCTCTAAGAAAGCAGCGCCCCGATGTGAACATGGCGAACATTGCATCACTCTCACGACTAAGAAACCAGGAGTCAACTGTGGACGGCAATTTTGGGTATGCCCCCGGCCGATTGGGCCTTCAGGGCACAAGGAAGTTGGGACGCAATGGCGTTGTGGAACGTTTATCTGGTGTAGTGATTGGAAAGGCAGTTGAGGGAGTGAAGGAAGGTGTGTTGAAACTGCTGCGCCATTGTTGGATGACTGTATCCCCCTCGATGGTGTTACACGAGGGCAATGCCCAAGATTGCAAGAATATGGCGAATTGTATGAAGGATAGGACGGGAATTGCGCCAAAGCAACAGATGCGTCAAGAAGAGAATGAACGCATGCAGAGTCAAAGCGTACGTAAGGTAGGAGTAAGACTAGGCCGCACACATGGTCTGCTCGCAGATTCAGTACGAAACAGTTGTTTCGCAATACAATGGGATTTGGATAAGAATGCGATGCTGCTGCTGAAGAAGAGGGGCTGGGTGCATGCCGTTTATCGATTCTCTGAGTTCGGATGCCGAGGCGGGGGGCTGAGGGAAACGGGGCGGGACGACGGAACGTGGCTATGCGGGGAGGTGGGCAAGACCACCAGACGAACAGTCCCTTTGGTACGACGGTCGAATCTGCTCTAAGGGTGTCGAGTCTGGCACACGACGATTCTGCAGCAGTGCTGCCATGTATTGCTCGGCTATGCTTTGCATCTGCGTATACTTAGAATAGAGAGAGGCGTGAGCGCCGCCTGCGCGCTGGCAACTGTGTGCGCGGCAGCCATCATCGCCCATTCGACATCAGACGATGGACTTGCCAAAAAGCTATACGACCAGGCTAGACAAGCAGGCCAGTATCCACCACCTAATCCTGCAGAGGCACAGAAACGGGCCGGCAGCAGTTCGCGGGCGCTTGCCCGGCACTCGGTTGTTCCCGCGGCCATCTTGGTTGCAGTTGTTTATGAAACACCAACACTCGCCCATCCAGCGGCCGCGCCTATCGTCACTGTGAGCGCCTCGCGGATGGGCGCTCTCGGTGGGTCGCAAGGCATCTTGCTGGGCCCGTATATGTTGGATTGCTATTCTTGCAGCCTGGTCTCTCTCTCGCGCTCTTGATCTCAGGCGACTCTCTGTGGGCGTTTCTTTTCTGGATGATCAGGCTGCAGGCCTTGCACTTGGACATGGTTTTCTGCGACATACGACCTGCAACATGCACCCTTCTGCAGGTCCCCGAGCTCAGCCCTACAAAGTATTGATGACTACAGCGCCCTACATACACACGTCTGACCAAAAGACGCATCCCTTGCTCGTTTGTCGCTTGCCAAGGTCTTTATTTGGGCCTTGAAGCCTGGTCGAATCAGCGCCAGATTAGCCGCCCCTAAATCGCTTCCCCCTTCCTCTACCGCTACCCCTCCATTCGGTACTCGAATTATTCTTAGACACAGCCGCATCTGGCTGCACAGTGGGTATCCTCAAACAGGCGCTTCCGTTGCAGGCACCCTCCCCTGCTCGAGGGGACGAACCGCTCACGTTTTCGTGTGCCGACCACTTAGAGGCCCAGTTTTGGCCAGCCCTGGCCCTCTTTCATGGCGCTTGGAGTCGTGACCCAGTGAACAGCCTCCTCTTCGCCTAGTCACACATACCATTCTCGGTACATGGCAGATCGATCCGGCGATTACAGAAACATGTCCTGGTTTCAAAACAATTCTCCGACCGGCCTGATGGCCTTTGTTGTGGATGGAGGCTCTGTATATGGCTTATTGTATAAAGATGCTCGCCATGCCCCTTGATGCATCTTCAGACAACCCAACTACAACAGGTACGAATAGAAGTTCTCTCGTTATCACTCGTCAGGCTATCTCCCATCTTTCGTTCTTACTCTGTCACTCTCATTCTCCGCCGACCTGGTCTACTCTAATCATAATCCGCTACCCGGTCGCTTCCATCACTATCGTCGTTGTCTTCTACTTCCTTGTCAGCGCGTCATTCCATCTCTCTATTCCTGTCATCACGGTCTTCTCTTACTTGTCTCCTCACTCCATTGGTCGACAATGCCTAAGATTGACAAGGGTCCGTCGCATCGCCATTCTGTGTCGACCTCATCGGCTGCAGGCGGAACTCGGAGCTCCTCTTGGTCCACCAAGGACGACGAAACACTCATCCGTGCCAGAGCACAAGGCCTCAACTGGAACCAGATCGGACCAAAGCACTTTCCTTCTAAGACTCCAAATGCCTGCCGTAAACGCCACGAGCGATTGATGGAGAGACAGAATGCGGAGCAATGGGACGGCGTCAAACTTGAGATTCTGGCACAAGCCTACATGGATGTGCGGCAAGAAATGTGGAGTTTGCTCGCCGCCCGTGTTGGAGAAAAGTGGCAGTTGGTCGAGACAAAGGTGAGTTTGTTTGTGAAAGCTGAGGCCTTTGTAGCGCGATACTGATTTGACCACAGTGCATGGAGAAGGGACTTAAGAATCTTACACAGGCCGCTAGGTCAGCCCACAAGAAGCTCGAGAATGGTACCTACCACGACTATGAAGACAGTGGAATAGGCATTTCTGACCTCGAAGAAGATCAAGAGGATCAACATGGTGGCATGTCGCACATGTCCACAATCTCCGAGCCCCATTACTCTCCGTACTCTGGCTATCCACAACCACAGCATCAGCGGGTTCCGAGCATCCAGTCTATGCTGCACCCGATGCAACAGCATTCGCATCATATGCAACAGTCTGTGCATCAGCCTATGCAGCAGTCAATGCAACAACCTATGCAACAGTCAATTCAACAATCTATGCCGCAATCGATTCAGCAAATCCAGCAGCCCATGCAGCAGCCACTCCAGCAACCAATGCCACAGTCAATGTCACAGCCAATGCAACAACCAATGCACAGCCAGTCAATGGCATACTCGTCGCATCAACTATCGCACCCGCAATAGACGACTGCTGACATTGTCACTACCGGGCTTTGGCTTTTCTCCCTACTTATTTTTCCTTCAACATCTCATTTCTCACGATCGTTACGACTCTCATGGCTACCTTTTCACCCAGTAGTCTTCTCTTTTCTGTACCAATACCCTTCAGAAACGCACCGATACCCATCACTACCACCTGGTAGCTTCTCTTCAAGATATACACCTACACAGGTGACTTAGACTCGCTAGTATAGCAGTCGTTCTATACACTCGATCTGTTTGTATGGAACAGTGGAAGACCGTAATAGGGTCGGATAATAGGACATTCTCTTGCATCAAGATCTGTAGTTGCACGGGTTATTTCTTTCGTATTTTTTAACTTTTTTTTTCGATATATGTTCGCGGATACTAGTATGACGTTTCTTTGGTATGCGGAGATGGATTCGTGTGTTTTTTCCATTATTTCTTATGCTTCTCTTCAATATTATTTCTTTCTTTTCATGTCAACTTGATGTTTCCAGGCACATCTTCCAGCATGTGACTGAGTTTCACTTTTCATCTAACTACTTATTGTACAAACTTGTCTGTCAAGTGTACTGACGATACTACTACCCTGTAGCTGTACAAAAAACCACACTACAAGCTGCCTACCAGCCATGAACACATCGTTCCCAGACCCCGCTATTGTCGAGTCGACCTGTACTATCTTCGTTACACAAGCGCACAGCCCCAGCCGCATACACAGCCTCCGCCATAGTAATCCTTTGACCCCACAAACTTCCAAACATAAGCACACACAAGAAAAAGACAGCCTAGCAATTTCATGCATACCCTCTCGCAGAGCCTCACTAAAAATAAACATTCAATTCTGTGCATGCGGCAACGACACACCCTTCCCGCCGCCTGCACTCTGCACACGACAGCAACAAACACGGCCACGCGATTGGCGCGTGGCGCACACCCGCACCCGCAAAGGCCGATTTGGCGCTAAACAAGCATCATGACATAACCACCTGGTTTTGGAGCATTGCCGTCCCCGGTCCCCCATGGACAACTCGCACAACGAAACGAAAAGATGATTGACCGATAGTAGTAGCCAAAACACCAAAAAAAGAGACTCCGCCATTTTCCCTCTTCCCTTTCTCTCTCGTTGCTTCAATCAAGCGCAATGCCCCGCGCCCCTCTCCTCCGCATCCCATATACAGATCCTCTACCCGCACCTCGTATCATTCCCGCAAGCGCCACAACAAGCAGCGGCGCCATTGCTGCGCTTGTAGACTTTTTATCGCCATGCCTGCCTTCCCGGTCGTCTTCTTCGCGCCCTGCGTTCACACCCCGTGATGCCAGACCAGCAAAGACGCTGCTCCTCACCGGCGCAGGTATATCCGTAGCTTCGGGCCTCGCAGATTACCGCGGCGCAAACGGGACGTATACGCTAAACAAGACGTACCGACCCATTTACTACAATGAATTCTGCGATAGCCACGAGGCACGGAAACGGTACTGGGCACGGAGTTTCATGGGGTGGACGAATCTCGAGCGCGCAAAGGCGAACGCGGCGCATGTGGCGTGTGGGGAGTTGGGGAGATTAGGGGTTGTTGGGGAGGTGATTACACAGAGTTCGTTCTTCTCTTCCTTATTACTCTCCATAGTAAAATATGGGACGAAAAGTGGCTGATGTGGTATTTTCATGTGTGTAATAGATGTCGATTCCTTTCACTCAACTACGCATCCGCACCTCCCCACCATCGAACTCCACGGCTACCTCCGCAACCTCGTCTGCATCACCTGCCGAAACGAGTATTCACGGCGTATATTCCAGTCCCAACTCTCCGCCTTAAATCCCTCGTGGGCTGCGTTTCTAGCAGAGATGCTGGAGACGGGCGCGCTGGATACTGAGAATCCGCTTGAGCGCCGGAAGAGGGGGTTGAAGACGAATCCGGATGGCGATGTGGATATCCCTGATGCACCGTATACTACGTTTCGGTACCCCGCGTGTCCTACGTGTCTGGAAAAGCCGCCGAAGCGGGCGGACGGGAGCGAGGTTAGTGTAAAGGTTGATGCGGACGGGGCATGGGATCCGCAGAGTGAGGGTGGGGTACTGAAGCCTGCTGTTATTATGTTTGGGGAGTCGATACCTGCGGCTACGAAGGTGGCGGCTGAGCAGGCTGTTGAGGTTGCGGGCAGGGTTCTGGTGATTGGGAGTAGTCTAGCCACGTATTCTGCGTGGCGGCTTGTGAAGAAGGCGAAGGAGATGCATTTACCGATTGGCGTCTTGAACATGGGTGGAGTACGGGGTGAAGAAACGTTTTTCGGGAACATAAACGATGTGAATATGGGGAGCGATGCTGTAAGGTTGAGCGAGAATGCGGAGCGGATACTTCCGAGTGTTGTTGGGATTTTAGCGCAGATGAAGGAGAAGAATAGATAGATGGTTTACCAATCTGTAGTTTCATATTTCTTATGGATAAGAGAAAGAAAGGAAGAAAAAAATCCTGATTCCATACTAAAAGAGAAAAAGAACGGTACAGGACATCAATCTTTGTGGTATCAAAGGCGCGAAAACAAGAAAAAAAAGAAAAGAAAAGGGTTATCTAATGCCCGCAAGAGACTTTATACATATGTGCATATAAACGGTTTTCAAACACCGCCAGAAGAAGAATCGAAAAACTTCATAATTTCAATGTGTGGGTTGAACAGTTGTTGTGTTCGAGATTAGTAGAAACCAGTCTAACAACTCCTCTTTGCTCATCGCATCTCCTCGGCATGATACACAGCAACAGCACCACCGTTGCTAAAGTCCTGCTTGCTCATCTCGTTCGCAATGGCGTTCTGCGCTTTCGACTTTGAATCCATTAAGAGCGCGAGGTTGCGCGCGGGGAGACGCATGAGCTCGTCGCTGCAGCCCTTGCAGATGCGTAACTGGCACCATGTGCAGCACCACTTGCGCTCTTTGCCGTTCTCGCGACACACCATGCAGGCCATGGGCTGGAAGACGTTGTTGGACCAGATGTTCTGTGCGTGGCCTATGTAGCAGTGTAGGTGCTTGTTTGTGACTTGTGGGACGAGCGAGATGGGTATGGGGATAGATTGCTCGGTTAGGGATACAAAGGGAGGAGGTGTTGCGGGTTCCATGACTTCGGTGGGCTCCATGACTTCTTTCGGTTCAATGGTGATTTGGGGTTCGTTGTCTTTAGCGATGGGGGATGGAGGGATGGAGGGCCCGGGAGATGGGGATAGGTTCGGGATGCCAACGCTGATGGACGTGGGGCGTGAGGGCGCGCTCAAGGGACGGGAATCAGAGCGTGGTGGGAACTCGAGCGAGGTGATGCGAGCAGGTGGCTTGGCGTTGATTGGTGGTGTTGGCGCATATGGAGGCGCAGGGTTTGTGAATTCTGGTTTGATCTCTTGTCGCACTGATACCGGAGGTTGCTGCTGGGGCTCAGCGACGGGCTCAGCGACAACAGGAGACTGCTCGTAAATGGATGAAGTCCTCGGGTTGGTCGGGGGAGGCAAGGGCGAGACGGGTGAGATTCCAGCGTCTGGCCCCGCGAGAATGGGTTTTAGTGTTGGAGAAGGTGTCGGCTCTGGGGTAGTAGCGTGTATGTTGACTGTGGGGGGTGAGGGAGCCGGCCTTTGTGCCTGTGTAAACCGAGTTAGTAACCAAAACTCATTCTCATGGAATAGGGCTCCAGTACCCTGAGAGTTTCGTCATGATGCAGAGGCATCTTATCTGACGAGTACTGGTGGTGGAAAAGGGAGGTAGATATATACCTTCAATACACTCAAGCCTGTACTGCTCTTCCCCTGCACGTTCACAGGCGATCCTAGAGAGTTGACACGTGGATTCGAGGGCAGACCAAAGACCTTCTTTGGGTGCGCCAAAGATGCCGTATCCTCCTTTTCCTCGTCGGGTGTTGGTGGGAGCTGAGCTTGCATATTGGGTAGGTTCTTTTTCGGTTGAGAGCTGTCCATTTTGCTCACGCTTACTTTACTCTCGACATTTTCCCTCTTGGGTGCAGATGTGGGAGCTGTTGGCACAGCCTTTCTTCCTCGTGGACCATTTCCTAGTTCTGCCAGGCTCTTGAAAGCCTTGACAGCCTCTGGAACAGCTTTCCGCTTCACAACTGGCGACGATGCGTCACTCGACTTGGCCTGCGACAAGAGCGAATCATTTCGCTCCCTGGCTTGCTTTGAAACTCTACCTCCCATTTCCTCCCTTCGATCCGATTTGGGTGGAGGTGGCGGGGGAAGATCTTCTACTGCAGAGACTGATGAAGGAATGGATTGAGACGGCAATGGAAAGGCCGATGGTGAAGGGACTGTTGCTGTTGACCCGTTGCTGATGGTCAGCTTCAGCGAAGCCGGCCTGGAACCACGAGACAGGCTACGTGACACGATGCGCTTCCTTGGTTGTGGGGAGCCTCCGACTGAGCTAGATGGCGACAAAGGTGCGTCTTGGTCGTCTGCTGAACGTTAGTCTACCGTAATGGAACAGCAATCATTGTTGGAGTGGTTGGTGTAGTTGAGGTGTAGAAAAGAAAGTAACAGAGCCATGATGAGGTATGTGACGACGTGAAACCAGGGCGTGGTCAGTGTGGACCCAAGCTATGGTTCAGACCAGCGAGGCAGGTAGTCTCAAGATCCACCGTCATGTTGGTTCAATCATGTCAAATTTCAATAAAACCACTCACCTCGAAGTTGGAATTTGGCATCCATTCGCTCTGAAGCGGGTACAGGTTTGCGCGCGATGCTGTCTGATCGTGGCGGAGGTGGAGGGAGCTCCTTGGTCGCTGACGTAGGGGAGTAGACTGACGGAGACTTGCCGTCTGGCTCAAAGGAATTACCATAGTCGCTGAGCAGTGCACTGACAATGTCTTGACGAGATGACGGAGTGATGGCTAGGGTGTGTTGGGTTATGATGTCGGACATGATTGTTGTAATGAGCGTGTGTGACGTTTGTGAAGAAAGTCGAATGAATGGAAGTGTCTGGATAGACGAGTTTGTGGAGAGCGAACACAAGCTGGTAAAGAGAGCGTGGGGGCAATGAATGAAGAGAACGGCTATGCAACAATAGAGACGAGCAAACCGGTGCCAGCCCGATTAATTATGCCTTTTCGATAATGACTGGTAGTAAAATGAAGGAAGGCAAGAGGAGATGGGGACGCGCATAGTAAACTCTCGCGTCGAAGATGGGCGTCTCAGGCGTAGAAAAGGACAGGGGGCCCGTCTGCGTGCTGAGTGGTCAGACGCCCGAATACATGAAGCGTTTGACATGATGACCAGGCAAAGAGTGGCCTGTCACAGGTGACGATGTGGAACTGCGCGGATCATCCATGTCTGCATGGAAGCGTTTGAGATGACAGGATGGTCGCGGGCCCCACCGGGACGCGGGGCGGTATCGATACTGGGAAGTAGGTAGTAGGTCGATCAGTGCTGGCACATGGAGCATTGCAGCAGAGAGGAAACGGCAATTTGCGTGCTTCGTTGTTGGGCGCACTTGATGCGCCTCATTCATAACGGTCGACATGGATGCAGCAGGCGCATTGTCGTTGAACCGTCAGCACGGAGGGCGACACATCGCCGCCGGGACGATGCGGCGCATTGGCAACGTCTAACAGCCTAAGGGGCCTTCGTACTGCCAGATCCTGATACCTCGGGTCTGGCTTTGCACGTGATGTGTACACGACGCGTTTCAGCACTCCCAAAGAGCAGCCTTCGGGTCGATTGAGAAACTATGCCTGACACTGGCTTTGCCCCACCACTGCGCAAGCATGCATGATGTACCTGTGGCTCTCGGACCCGCACTATCACCTTTGTCCGCTCTAGACACAGTACTCAGTTGCATGTCTTCTGGCTGCCCGAAAATCCGTCCAGAATCGCGTGCTTTGGCCACGAGTGAGACGACGATGATGATGATGATGACGATGACGACGATGATGTGTCTTACAAATTATGGGCCGGGCGTGCCTTGCATGTGCTCGACCACAGCGGATAGATTGAGTGGCTGGGCGTAGGCCGTGCTAGCTTAATATGACAGCCCTTCATACTTTGGATGAGCAAGTCTAGTCCAATGGATGGAGAAACGGACGGCATGGACATGAGTTCACGAAACATTATAGGGCTGATTTCAAGCATAGTATCAATGGGTTTCCATTGCTCCGTCGTATCACCATAAAGCCGCTGTTCCGATTAGGAAGCGCCGGTATGCTAGGTCGTCCCCATATATGAACATACCCAAGTATAGATCTCCCACCCCTTTTCTACTGCATACAAAGCCCAGTGCTCTGTGTCCAAACACTACATAGGATCCTCATCCAATTCGGTAGACGTCTGGCGGTGTAAAATACAAAAGCCCCCATGCGCCATCGCTAATGACTGGTCGCTCTCAAAAGCCGACCATTTTGCTTAGAAAAAAACAGTACATGTACAAGAAAAAGATATATGGGGGTATCGTTCCATCACTGGAAAAAGTAAAGTAAAAACATTAGGACGAGTGTGATCGTAGGCGTAAGTGATACGCTTGTTGTAGGTGCGGCGCTTTTGATGGGAGCTGCCGTAACATCGAGGAAATTAGTGCCACACGCTATTGAGATTTGGTGTGCGGCCGAAGCATACGTTTTAGCAAGGGGCTGCGAGGCATTGTTGCTGTAAGATGCGAACACACCCATTGCTGACTTCAGACATGAATTGCAAGTTGGCCGTGATCCAGCTGGAAGTTCCTGTCCAACTGGCAGGTAGTATGGGTATGCGTCGCCAGGGGACGTTGTGTTGGTGACGGCGCTTGCAAAGCAGTAGTTGCCGTCTTTGCCGTGCAGGCAACTTGCCTGATATGACGGCAAGTAAGCAACCAAGCCATTATAAGCCTGTATCACCATGGGATTGTCGCTCTCGTAGTCTGCTTTGCACGCGTCGGCCAAAAGGATTTCCGTGGCATATTTGTCCATGACGGGCTTGCATTGGGGCGCGCTGGCCCCGCAAGTCGCGTCGAGTGTCTGAGTAATGCGAAGGGTGGATTTGGAGGCATCGAAGAAACTGCTGGATGTCTGCAGGCGGTCAGATTCTCGTTCAAATACAGGAGCACAGACTCAATTACCTGTAGTAGCAACGAGAAAGGATGGCAGTTTTTGAAATCCTCGTTTTGGCGCATGTTGTTCAGAAACTTTGCACAGGCATTGGTAAAGTTGTTGGACAGGGCAGAATCAAAGGCCGCGGGGACGGAGAAATCGCCACTGGAAGCATTGGGATCGGTGCCGAGGGCTCGTTTGGATGGCGGGGATGAGCGGATGGCATCGTGGCCCTGTAGAGGAGGCATCAATCGCAGCGCCTTGGGGTGGTGGGTAAGATGAGGGTGCAGCGCCGATCCAAGGTCGTCTTCCACGAACAGCACTGATCGATCACCATGGGCTCTGGTCACGAGTGCGGGAGCAGCCAGGGAACTGCAGGATAGAAATACAACGAGCAGCAGGAGCAGCGCGCGGACACGGCAACCGAGCCTTGGTGCCAGGCGCTGATATATGGGCACACAGCGCCAGTGGTTCTCGTGTTTCTTGTGGACGGTTTGCAGGGGGGAATGGTGCGACGGGATCGCTAGTGATTCGGGAGTACGAGCAGATTGGGAAACCATTTTAATAGATGGGCGGGCGATCCGATATT